GCAGGAGGAGCAGGAGGAGCAAGAATAAAGCCAAAATCAAGAGCCCCAAGGCCCACATGTCTGGTTTAGACCAAACCTGGCTGTTTAACTCCACCCACAGGCCCCAGCATCCCCTCAGTGATGATAGGATTTGTAGTTTCACTGCATCCTGTGGCTTTGGTTTGCAGTGGGGTGGGGTCCACAACACCTGTGAAGTTCCTTCAGGGCATTCTTTGCCCCTAACTTCTCCAGGGTCAGACTCTCCATGGACACATCCCCTACCCCAGCTCTCCTGCCCACTCCATCCTGTGCAGACCCCTGTCCCACAGCCTCAGTCCTGCCTCCCGGGGCCTGGGGCCTGCTCACCTGGGCAGGGCTAAAGCCTGGACCCCTCCCCTTACCCTTGGCCACTCTCCTGTCCCCGCACCTGATGTTGATTTTCATGTGCCCTGTTCTGTGTCCATCCCTTCTGTCTCCCCTTTTCCCACTTGTGTCCTTTGCCTACTAGAGGAGGGACGTGGAAAGTGACCCCTGAGGCCAGAGAAGCTGAAGTGATTTCTAAGCCCCAGAACTTCCCCTCACTGGACCTTACCTGGGGTCTGGGCTGACCTCCTCAGGGCTGGGCAGGCCTGGTCAGGGCCTTCTGGCCTCCAGGCCTGTGCTGTCTCTTGAGGGTCTCAGAGTCTGTTCATCTCCAACCTCTGTCTGAAAGATCCTGGAGGTGGGTCCTGGTGTGGGGCTGCCTATCCCCTTTCTGTGGGTGTCACTTTGTTATAGCAGCAGTCTTCTTTCACAGTCTCGGGTGAGGGATGCAGCCTGGATAGCCCACACTCACCTACATTCTCACTCCCTGTGTCCTGAGGATTCCAGGGAACACTCAGCGTCATCCTGATCCATCAGTCTCCACTCGCTCCCCTGGACTCACTCTCACCAGACCCCAGGACGGGGTGTGATGCTCCAAACACTCCTGCTGCTGCTCTGGGGATCCCTGGCCCTGATGAAGACCTGGGCAGGTGAGTGCGGGATCCAGCTGGAAACTGTTGCTCCAGGAGGGAGGAGTAAGGACACTCACTGCAGGTGCAGGACACCATTAATGGCTCATCTCAGCGACCTCTTGTACCCCCTCAGGCCCTGTTGTGTTCTGGCCCTTCTCTTCCTCCCTGCCTCCCCTGATGCTCTGTTCTCCTTGACTCTGGGCCCCACTTAGCCCACTGCCCCTTTTCAGCCCCACAGGCCCAACTTCCTGAGAGCAGGGCCCAGCACTGTGAGGTGGGTCAGCCCAGGTCTTCACCATCCCTCCCTCAGGCCCCCACTCCCTGAGGATTTTCTCCACTGCGATGTCCCGGCCAGGCCGCAGAAAGCCCCGCTGCATCGCGTGGCTACCTGGATGACACATAGTTCAGAAACTTTGAGAGCCACTCTCCAGGTCAGAGGACGGAGTCTCAGGCGCCCTGGGTTGAGCACTTGGGACAGGAGGATCTGGACTAGGAGATCTGGATCCAAAGGAAAGAGGCATACAGGCCCAAAGTGCTCCTGAAAGACCTGTGAAGAAATTACAGAGCGAGGACGGTGAGCTCCATGGAGCCCTCTGGGAATCAGCTCACCAGCCCCATTCCAACCTAAGACCAGGGTGTCCAAGTCTCAAGGGCGAACTGATACATCGAGGCTGGAAGAACTGCAAGGCCCCACACCTGGTAAGACAAACTGGACCGAGAGTCTGTGCATCAGTAGTTTCATGCTCAAATTAGCTTGATTCAAGGGTAGAGGGAGGGTAACCGAGGAAACCCAAGGATGATATGGGGGGGGGGGAGATGCAGGGTATCACACCCTCCACAGGATGTTAGGCTACAAAGTAAGTCCGACAGGAGCCTCTTCCAGGGGTTCAAGCAGTCAGCCTATTAAGGCACTGATAACATCCCCCTGAACCCGAACCTACTCAACTGGACGCTGCTGACCCGGTGGCCTTAGACCAGTGCTGAGGTGGGGGGCCTTATTGGGGCCAACCCCTTTTGGGTGGGCTTTTACCCACGAGGGGATGGGTGACTTCAGAGCATTGATTTAGCAAGTATATCCTCTGTCTTTTCCGTAAGGCTTACCCATTGCTCTGCCCTCTTTCTGGGAAAGGTCGTGGAGGTATTGTCTTGATGTGGCCATGGGCGGAACAAAGGTCGAGCCTGCCATATAATAGCACTACCATCATGCAATATCATCCAGGTGTACACCATCCCGGCAAGAGCTTCATTGAAGTACTCTAGGGATGATGCTGGTGAGCCCCGAGCCGTCACCGTGAGGGAAATGGCGAAGACCGAAAGCCAAAGGAGTTCACTAGCAGCAGCCGGTGTCAAGGAGGGAAGGCAACACGAGGGGCAGCCAGCTGGGAGTAGAGCTGTACAGCTCCGAGGGGCAATCAAATGAACAGACCCAGCGGCCCGTAGTGGAGGTCAAGCATTCACAAAGGGACCCGTTGCACTCATCCAAATAAGGAGACTGCCTCCGGAAGGCGCCCCAGCCATGGACAGGACTCGGGGACGAAGGTGACCGAGTTGAAGCCGACGGTTGAGGACAGCCAGTGGTGTTTCTAAAGGAGCAACACCGGCCAGGGGGCCTGACAGGCTTGAATAAAATCAGATGGAAAGGTGGGGACCCACAGCCCCCCGCCGCCGTGGGCGCGGGGCAGGTGGTGGGCCGCCGCCGGCCCCGGGGGTTGTCTCTCCGTGGGCTCAGGCCGGAACCGCACCCCACCCCCACCCCCCACCGCCCCAGGCACTGGGCCTGAGGGCGGCCCCCTCCTGGCTTCAAGGACCCCGGGCTTCACTCGTAGTGTTGGCGCGCCCCCTGCTGGTGCCTTCGGGCTTAACAGCCTTTGCGTGGCTGCAGGCCCTTCCCCACCTGGCTGACTCTGAGATTGCTGGCACCTGTTGGCCCTGGGGCTTTCGGCCGGCGGTCCCGTCCACAGCCCCACAGACCCCACCCACGCCCCCTGGGCCGCCTTCCCGGGCCCCGGTGCCCTCTCCCCGTCCCAGCCCTCCACTGCCGGCCTCAGGTCTGTGGGGTCTCTCTGGCCTTGATAGCGACGGTTGTGGCAGCTGGACCTCAGTGGCCCACTCTACTCCCCATTTCATTAAGTGAACAGACTTCCTAGGATGACTTAGCGATGTGGAAGTGCGTTCTCTTCAGAATGGGCTGTTCCGACTTTGTGTCAAGTTTCAAAAGCTTTTCCTTTTCTGTTTCAGAGTCTCCACTGCCATCCCCCCACAGGAATGGTGGTTTGGCTTTCTTTTTTTTTTCTTTCTCCCCCTGGGGTGGGTGGGGCCAGCTTCCCCAGTCCTTTTGTACAGAGCTCTTGAAAAGAAGTCATTTGGAAGCTTCTGGGATCCCAGCATCACGACTTGTCACCACGAAAACGAGCCCCGATATCTAAGAGTGTCCCGTGGCATAGTAGGTCATCCAACAAGAAGATGGGGTACTCAATCAATCACGCCCCATAACATTGGCCATTTCACATATTGTCTTTTATTCCCTTGGTGAAAAAGTAGCAAGAGCCCCTGCATGCACTCCCTGCATAGTCCAAGAGATGGGCAAGCCTACACTCCAGGCAGTTTCCCACCAAACCCTCAGCATCTTAGACACACTTTTCCTGGCGTTATGCACCCCGCCTTAAGGATGCTTGTAGCCCGGGCCCTCCGTGGTGGCGGGTGCGTGCAGCGGCTTCAAGTTGGCGCACTCCAAAGGCGGCCAGGGCCGCTGCAGTGCAAGCTGGAAGCCCAGCCCCGCAGGTGACCCACCCACGGGGGGCGGCTGTCTCGCCCGCTGCATCCCTCAGCATTGTGTGTGTCCCCAAAGCAACATTCTGGGCCCTGCCCGGTGGCGCAGCGGGTTCAGACCCAGCGGTAAGCAGCCGCAGCCACTTCCGCGTGTGTGCCATCCGGCTGCGGAGCTGACCCACGTGGTGTGGCGGACCTCTGCTGACCCGCCCCGCTGCTCCCCTCAGCCGGGTTCTCTGTCCAGCTTCCTGTTCTGCTCCCCAATCTGTCTCTGGTGAATGAATCCTCTCACCGCCCCTTCGCCGCGGGCCTGTACCCCACTTCTGTGGGCATCAAGATCTTTCCAAGGAGAGAAGTCAATTCTACCCCCCCACCCCCCGACTGCACTAGCACTGTGGCCTGGGTTCCAGAATCCACGGTAGTGACGTCACAGGCTGGAACCCCAGGAGTAGGGGACGTTCCAGGCTCCTGGGCCCACACAACGGAGGGTGGAGCTGAGCCGGCAGGGAGAAGGAGCTGAACCCCAGACTGAGGAGAGGAGGAGCGAGGCAGCTTGGAGAGCCAGAAGGAGAACCTGAGGAAGCCACGCGGAGCAAAGGGAGACTGGGAAGGAGCCGTGTGGACTTCTCGGTCTGCGCTGGCCTGGGTGAGAGACCCGTGGCCAGGTGGGCTATGGCACCGTTTCTCTTGAGTTGGGTTGCGCCTTTTCCTCCCAAGCGTGTCTGACCCTCTTCTTGACGGGGAGTCCTCATCCAGCTCTCCATCTGGCCCTCCCTCCTGCTTCCTTCCTCTTCCTCAGATTTCCTGTCTTTCTCTCCTCTAGTCTCTGCTGGAACCCGGCACTGCCCCTGGCCCCGGGGACCACCCTGTGGCAGGGGAAGGGAGAACCTCTGCCGAGGCGGCCCTTGATTCAAGGTGCCACCCTCCTGGAAACAGAAGAGGGTGGGAGATCCGCGGGGAAGTGGACACCGGCAGCTTTGGTCTTGATTTTGACCTGGCTCTGCCAGGGCCTGTCGGGACATGTCGGGAATCCCAGACATTCCCGGGCATGCCCGGACTTGTCTGCACAGGCCTCAGACCAGTGCTGTGGTGGCGGGGCCATTTGGGTCTTACTTAAAACCACGAGGGGAGGGGTGACTGCAGTGCCTTGATTTAGCAAGTCCATCCTCTGTCTTTTCTGTATCCCTCACCCATTGTTTTGCCCTTTCCTTTCCGGGAAAGGTCGTGGAGTTGTCTTGATGGGGCCATCGGTGTGCGGAACCTAGGTCGAGCCTGCCCTATAGTAGTACTACCATCATGCAATATCATCCAGGTGTACACCATCCCAGCAATAGCTTCATTGAAGTACTCTAGAGATGATGCTGGTGAGCCCTGAGCCATCACTGTGAGGGAAATGGCGAAGACCGAAAACCAAAGGAATTCACTAGCAGCAGCCGGTGTCAAGGAGGTAAGGGAACACGAAGGCCATCCAGCTGGGTGTAGAGCTGTACAGCTCCCGAGGGGCAATCAAATGAACTGACCCAGTGGCCGTGGAGGTCAAGCATTCACAAATGGACCCTTTGCACTCATGAAAATATGGAGACTCCCTCTGCAAGGCGCCCCAGCCATGGACAAGCCTCGGGGACAAAGGTGACAGAGCTAATGGTTGAAGACAGAAAGTGGTGTTTCTAGTCTGTCTGCCCAGGGCCTGACAGACTTGAATAAAGTCAGCTGGGAAGGCGGGGACACATACCCTGTTGTGTGCGCGGGGCTAGTGGTGGGGCGCCGCCGGCCCCGGGGGTTCACTGCGTTGGCACCGGCCGGACCCCCAGCCCCCCCACCACCCCAGGCACTGGGCCTGATGGTGCCACCTCCTGGCTTCGAGGACCCCGGGCTTCACTCGGGGTGTTGGCGCGCCCCCTGCCGGTGCCTTCGGGCTTAACAGCCTTTGCCTGGCTGCAGGCCCTTCCCCACCTGGCTGACTCAGATTGCTGGCACCTGTTGGCCCTGGGGCTTCGGCCAGCGGTCCCGTCCACAGCCCCACAGACCCCACCCACGCCCCCTGGGCCGCCTTCCTGGACCCTGATTCCTTCCTGTCCCTTAGCTCAGCTGCTGGCCTCAGGTCTGTGGGGTCACTCTTGTCCTGTTAGCGCCAGTGATGGCATCTTGACCTCAGTGGCGCACTCTACTATCCATTTCCTGAAGTGAACAGAGTTCATAGGATGTCTTAGCAATGTGGAAGTGCGTTCTTTTCAGAATGAGCTGTTCTGACTTAGTGTCGAGTTTCCAAACTTTTCTTTTTCAGAGTCTCACTGCCATCCCCCCACAGGAATGTTCGTTTGGCTTTTTTTTTTTTTTTCTGGGTTGGGTGTGGCAAGGGAATCCTGTGAAGGAGCAGTGTTGACTTCTTGGCACTGGGCCGGGTGGAAAGCGCAAGCTGTGAAATGCTGTATCCTTAGTTGTTTTTTTTGAAGTATGTGGCTATTCAGATATTTTCATATTTGGGGTATAAGCCATGAGCGAGGCAACAAAAATAGTTCACTGGGACACCTGCACTACTGTCTTTATTGCAGCATTAATTTTATCAGTACTACTTGAATACAACACAATCCTCAAAACCATATGACTTTATTAGATAATGTGGCCTTTATCCACTGTGGAATACTCTCCAGCAGTCAGAGAGATAAAGCAGGGTCACTTGCAGCATCATGGAGGGAGATAGAAAGGATTATGCTCTGTGAAGTCATGCAAAAGGAAATGTAACGATAGTGTCACCTATACGAGAAACATGGAACCAAATAAGGTATCGGGAAAAAATAAAAATAACAAAATAAAACAAAACAAACATAACTGGCAACTGTAAGCCAGAAGACTGCGGATCGGGAGGAAGAGGCTTCAAAACACGGGAGAAGCACCAGGGACTGTTTTGAGGGTGCGTGGTGGACTGGTTGGGTCCATGCCCGCCACACTGAGGAGGAGAGCAGCAGGTGCAGCGTGAGCACTGACGTGGTATGTATGAATCAATGAACAGATTATTTAAAAAAAAGAAAAGGCTACTCGGGTCACACATTTCCCGGGACTCAGCCTGGGGCTTCCACAGATGAGCTGTGCCCACTCCCTGGCATCGCGTCAGACCTTGAATAATGTGGGTTCAGGAAGATAAAATAGAAAGATGTTTTCGTGATTTAACCAGGGCGTGTTGAAGTGACACCAGTTTGGATTCTTCCTACAGGTAAAGGTGGCGAAGAACAGCCACTGCTATGGGGAGCACAGTATCCATTCCCACCACGTCTCCTCTCAGAGGACAGGTAAGCCTATGCCATAGCCAGTGCTCTCTCGGTGACCCTGAGGTTGCTTCAGCTTCAGGGTCCTGTGCAAGGTCTGGGGATGGCCTGGCCCATTTCTGCCAACACTTGCATCACCAAGATGCGTCCTGCTCAAAAAAATGTAATGGCCTTAGCCCAAATCAAGTGTTATTTCAGGAGAGCTGGCTCCTGTGTCGGGGCTGGGGCACCAGAGTTGTGGACACTGTCCTGAGGGACCTGGTGACTTGCTTCCTCTTTATGTTTGCTCCTGGGGGCCCAGCTGTGACTCCTTCCCAGGGTCATCGGTCACTATCTTCCCGCAGCCTTCCTGGACCCTTGTTCTACTTCACACTGAGTCCTCAGCCAGGACCTTGAAGAAGTCCCTGCCCACACTGCCCAGGCCTCTCGCCCAGGCCTGCAGAGCTGGCTCTGAGTGAGAACGTGGCCCCAGAAGTGGCCCCTCAGGTCCACAGCACAGGCATGTGCCCCCAGAGGCCCCTCTGGTAGGTTGTTGATGTGCACAGGGTTTGCATTGTTATGACCCCATAAGAGCCAGAACAGTTTTCCTTCTTGGAATGATTTTTATTGGCCCTGGTTATAATTACCTTGTTCCCTCATTAGCTTAGTTCCTGTTGTGCTCATTCCCAACCCTGCCAAGCCCTCCCCAGGGTCAGCATCTCCATGGACACACCACACACCCCAGCTCTCTTGCCCACTCCATCCTGTGCAGACCCCTGTCCCACTGCCTTCTGGGCCTGGGGCCTGCTCACCTGGGCAGGGCTGAGGCCTGGGCCCCTCCCCTCCCCCTTACCCTCTCTCTTGTCCCTACCACTGATGTTGATTTTCCTGAGTCCTGTTTTCTGAGTCCATCACTTCTGTTTCCCCTTTGCCCACCAGTGACCTTTGCCTATTAGAGGAGTCAGGGTTGACATGTGTCCTGTCACTTGTACTGAGTGTTCCTCTCTCATTACAGTGCAGGTTCCTCTCTGGTCTTCACTGTATCTCCAGGGAAGGCAGCTCTGGGAGGAGGGAGCCACCCGGGAGAGGGATTCTGGGAATGAAGGGGAGGCAAAGGCAGAGGACACTGGGAGATATTCCTTGGTGCGGGGGGCCTTGACCTGCAAGGCCGGGGAGTCAGGGCCCCAGGTCCAGCGAACAAAAGAAACAGTCACACGTGTGTAGCAGAACAAAGAGAAAAAGAGAGAGAGAGAGAGAGTTTATTTTGTTTTTATCTGGTTTATATAAAATACAAGAGGTGGGGGATGCAGAAGTCGGGAAGGGAGAAAGCCAATGGACACTAGACATGTAGCAGTATTTGATAACATGGTTCTCGCGAGGGACAAAAATGGGCGAGAATGGAGCAGTGTTTTGATAATAGGTGGGTGAGAAAAGAAAGAGGAGAAGGAAAAGGTGGGGGCAGGGAGTTCTTCCCACATGCCTTTTACAACCCAGATGTTTTTCTCTATCTGGACTCCATTTCACCTTTTTATGACTGCTGACAGACGCCAGATGCTGGCCTCGGTCCCCAACACCTTGGTTCACTCAGCGAAGCATTTCTCAAAGTGTTATGTGTGGGACTTTTGAAGTCACCCAGAACCTGTCATGGGACCCATGAAGTAAAAACTATTTGTATAACCTCAGTAGACATTTTGCCTTTTCACTACTTGACATTTCCTCTGAGGTAGAACTTAGTAAGAGTGGAGACTATAGTGCCAGCTGCAGTAGTTGTTATTCTTCACTGCCACTTATGTGCAGGGGGAAAAATCCCATGCCACTCTCATGTCAAATATATTGATTGACACATTAAAAATTATCTACAGTGCCCTCTCTGGTGGTGCAACGGGTTAGGACGCAGCACTGCAAGCTGGCCACAGCCACTTCAGTGAGAATTTGATCCCCCGCCCTGGAGCTGACCCACATGGTACAGCAGACCTCTCTTGTCTCGCCTGCTGCTCCCCTCGGCCATGTACTTCCTTGGTCTTCCTGTTCTGCTCCCCACTCTGTCACTGGTGAATCCTCTCACTGCCCCTGCACCTCTGGCCTGTATCCCAGTTCTCTATGCATAAATTAATAAATCTTTTAAAAAAACAAACAAAAAACCTTTTTAAAAGTTTTTTTTTATTGAATTGAAAACCCAGGCACAAAGTCACATGTGCAGACAATTAACGTGTGACAAGGGAGCAGAGAGCACACACTGGAACAAGGAACGTCTCTTCAATAAACAGTGCTGGGAAAACTCAGCTCCTACATGCAAAGTGAGAATGGACAATTACCTCATACCGTACACAATGATCAGCTCAAAATGATAAAAGACTGGAATGTAGGACCTGAGAACCAAACAATACATAGAGGAAAATATGACATATATCTCCAGAAGACCTTTAAGTTCTCATCCCCTCAAACGAAGAAAATGAAGGAAAAGCTAAACAGCTGGTACTTCATGAAACTAAAAATCTTCTGTACAGAAAAAAAGACAGTAACCAAAATCAAAAGACTCCTCTCAGATTTGAAGAAAATATTTGCATTCTGCAAAACTGATAAGGGACTGATATCAAAGATCTACAAAGAGCTGACACAACTCAGAAAAAAACAAAATAAAGAGTCCTGTCAAAAAGTGGGCAGAAGAACTAAAAGACTCTTTTCCAAAGAGGAAATGCAGGTGGCCAACTGGCCATGAAAAGATGCTCCACCTGACTTATTATCAGGAAGATGCAAATCAAAACCACAATGAGACTCCACCTTACACCAGTAAGAATGGCCCCATGTTAAAAAACAGAAACTGACAACAGATGCTGGTGAGGAAGTGGAGAAAAAGAAAGTCTTTTACACTGCTGGAAGGAATGCAAACTGGTCTAACCATTATGCAAAGCTGTGTGGACGATGCTCGAATTACTAAAAATGTGTGTACCTTATGACCCACTCCTAGGAATCTACCCAAAGGACACAGAATCATTAACTGAAGAGGATACTTGCTATTCCGTGTTCATCACAGCACTATTTACGACAGCTAAATATGGAAACACATTAAATGTCCAAATACTGGATCAGGGAGATGTGGTATATATGGTGGAATAGTATTCAGCTATCAAAAGACAAACTTATGCCATTTGTAGCAACATGGAGCTGGAAGGAATTATACTCAGTGAAATAAGTCAGAAGGAAAAAGAAAAATATGGGATGCTTCACTTATAGTTGGAACATAGGGGAAATAAGGGACCAGGAAGAAAAGACAAATTTGGCAGCAAACTATGAGTGGAGGCATTCATCAGGGAGGGGGAGGGAGAAGGTTCAAAATGGGAGGGACCAGAACAAGACTCTGTGGTGATGTTCATGGTTGTCTTGGTGGAGATGATTTTACGGGGACAACACCTGAGAGAAATCAAACATTGTACAAAAACGAACAAGGTTGTAGAAATAAATAAATACATAAATAAAACTGATCTTCATGAAGATCATCCTCAAATCCACATGACAGGGAAGTGCGCTCAGAGAGCTTCTGTGGCGTTCCCACGCTCTGTGTCAAGAGAAAGTATTTGTATGAGACAAATTAAACTTGTTTTTGTAGGCAACACCATCTTGACATGAAGGGATCCAAAGGACAAAAACTATGGCTTTTACTTTCCTGAAAATGAAGGTCTATTTTCTTTTCTTTTTAAGATTTATTTATTTGTACATACAGAACTGGGGTACAGGCCAGAGGTGTAGGGGCAGTGAGAGGCTTCACCAGAGACAGAGTGAGGAGCAGAACAGGCTGATCAATGAAATACACTGCTGAGGGGAGCAGCAGGCGGGTCAGGAGCCTGACCACATGGAGCAGCCGCACCATGTGGGTCACGCCGCACCATGTGGGTCACCTCGGGGGCCGAAGGATCAAACTCTTGCTAAAGTGGCTTTAGCTTCTTTGTGCTGTGCTTTAACCCTCTGTGCCACCAGGGAGGGCCCTATTTTCATAAGGAAATTAACAATTGAAAACTCAGGGTAATTTTGTCTTGATAAGCCATATTTTCTTTTTTTAATTTAATTAATTTAACTTAATTTAATTTAATTAGCTTCTTAGTGCTGTGCTTTAACCCGCTGCGCCACCGGGAAGAGCCCGATAAACCATAAGTTTTCAATGAAAACCAGAATTATGGACAACTGAGTCCCATCATTAACTTGACAACTGCCAATAATAATATTTGGGGGGGGGGACTTTGTGATTAAAAATTAAGTGGATTTTCTGGTAATTTTATTCCAGCATAGTCAACACTGAAGATCTACATAACTTAGTGAGACAATGCAATTAAAACAAATCATACTGATGGAGGAAGGAATGCAGGGGAGGCGTCACAAGACTGAGTCACACAAAGGGGATGAGCAGAAGGGGCTAGTGCAGCCACTGACAGCCATCACATCAAGGTCAACCCGTGCCAGGGATGCCCCGGGATGCCTGAATATCTGCAGGAGTCCCCAGCGGATAAAAGACTGGTGGGGGCTGTATCTAAAGCTCAAATCCAAAAAGGTAAAAGATAAGGACATGGAGATGAAGGTCATCAGGAATCTCAGATTCTATTCAAAGACAAACAACCCAGGGAGAGGCTGCCTATATCAGGGCATCTCTGTACCAGCACGGGGCAGCCACTCCTTTGCCCACCTGTGCCTATGCAGGTGCTTCTTCCCACCCGCTCTCTCCCTCTGCAGGGCATCAGCGTCCTGCCTGCCCATGACCTGTACCATGCCAGGACCTCTGCACTGACCTTCCTCATGGGAGGCTGCTCTCCTAGGTCCACCGGCCTGAAACTATGCAGGTCTCTTTCCCTGTGGAGCAGCTCTTTCTGCCCACTTATGTCTATGCAAGTGTTCTTTCCTCTCCTGCCTCTTTCTAATCAACTTAGTCTTTAAATATAACTGAGTATCTGCCTCATGGAGAATCTCGCTACAGGCCGCTGAAAGGGGAGCTCTGGTGAAACCTTTCCCAGAGTGAACCCAAGGACCCTGAACTCAAAAGACAACATCAGTATCATCGCATAAGATCCATCCAATATGCAAGAGAGGACTATGGACATGTAGCAGCACAGGATCTATTCAATGGTATTATTTCAGGTTTCACTTTGCAAACAACACTTGAGAAACTACCACCTATATTATTCTAAATTAGTATCAACCATGGCCAGCTTGCAGTGCTGCACTTTAACCCACTGCTCCACCAGGGAGGGCACTGTATATATTTTTTCATAGACTTCAACCAAAACCACAGATTAAATGCAGAAGAAAGTGTGAATATTCATCTGTCCAATGAATAAGAAAAATGAGGAAGACAATTGTGGAATATAAAATATAAAAGATACACTTTCAAAATAGTCGTTTTTCTTAAAAATACTTTCTGTTAAAAGCATTGTTTATTAATATTATTCTCAATGATAGAGAAACATCATTAAAAACAGCTTTATTCCTAGTGTGGTAAATTTTGACAGCGATAACCTCATAAACAAAATTATACTCAGGGTTCTCACTAATTTGTAGGACTGTACAGAGATCTGGGAAAGGAAATCCCAGACTGAGAATCACAGACTGGGTCCCTGGCCCTGGATGCAGGGCCACAGCGTGACAAAGCTTTGGGTGCAGGAGAGGAGGGGACAGGGCAGGGTGTCAGGTCCCCTGGTTGGGTGCTGGGGTTGTGAAAGTTATCCTTGGGGATACCCAGCCCTCTGCCCTGTAACAGGGTGGTCCCCAGGAAAAGGGGAAGTTCCAGGTTCCTTGCCCCTCCCAGAAGGAGGATGGAGCTGAGCAGAGAAGAGACAATCTGGAGAAGAAGGAGGCAGAATGGAGGCCAGAAGGAGACCTGAGGGAGCCACTCAGAGCAGAGAGACATGTGAAGAACCCGTGCTTGTTTCTTGGCCCTGGACTGGTTGAAAGAGATGTGGGTGAGAGACCCATGGGGAAGTGATTATGGCGGCGTTTATCTTGATTTTAATGTTGCTCTTTTCCTCCCTGACTTGTCTGGCCATTTCTGACCCTTTTCTATGGGTCCCAGCCAGAAGGTGCTTTAGGCTTGTGGCAGCTTTCAGGCCTTGCTTTGGGCCAACCCCTTTTGGGTGAACTTTTCCCACAAGGGGATGGGGAATTTCAGGTGTTTGATTTAGAAACTATAGTCTTTGTCTTCGTGTTGTATGCTCACTCTATTAAAGTTCCTTTTCATTAAAGTCTTATATGTTTTGTCTTGATGCGGCAGATAGCAGAACCTATTTAGAGCAGGCAGGTTTGGGGGTTCAGGGGTGTCCCTCTCTCCCTACCCTGTAACACCCTCAGTATTGTTACAGGGTAGAACAAGGGCACCCCAGGACCCCAAACCTGCCTGCTCTCACTGTGTCCAGTCTTCCAGCATGTAAATACAAATACACTCTAGTGTTGGGACTCTCAATGGAAAGGAACTTTACTCAAGTTACCCTTCCACGAGTGGGTCAGTGCCCACCCAGGCAGGCTGGCCCAAAGCAGGACCCCTGAGGCCCCAAAGCCTGTCATTTGTCTAAGGGACTTCCTGGTGGTGACCAGGGGAGGGGCAGAAAGAGCCAAGCAAGTTGGGGAGGGAAAGAGCAAAATGACCATGCAGATAAAGGCTGCCACTGTCAGCTCCCTGGGGTCACTCACCACCTTGTCTCTTTCAGGGTCTCCTTCCACATTCCCCAAACCCTTGTTATCAGTTCAAGGCTGGGAAGCAAGGGCAGTTGCCCAGAGTCCCCCAGCACTTCCTCTCTTAGCCTGAGCCCACCCTCCTTTATGACTGGGCAGGGACCTCAACTTCCCCTTTCCTTTCCTTGGACTTCACTCCCTCGCAAGCTCTTCCCTCAGGAACCCTCAGTCCCAATAGCCTGGAGGGTTTCCAGGGTTCCTTGCATCTGGCTGAGACCAGATTCTGCCAGACCCCAGGATGGGATATGGGGCCACCACCTCTCCTGCTGCTGCTCTCTGGGGCCCTGGCCCTGACTGAGACCTGGGCAGGTGAGTGCAGGACCACGGGCTGGAACAGTTGCTCCAGGAGGGAGGGGAGTTAATGTGAGATGGGGACTCCTGAAAGACAGATCTCTTCGGATAACTTCCTCGTGCCCCTCTTGGCCCCACCATTCTCTGGCCCCCATCGTCTCTCCCTGCCTCCCCTGAGTTCTTTTGTCCCCCTGAATCTCAGCCCTTCTAATCCCACTGCCCCTTTTGAATCTGGGTGTCTCCTTCCGGCTCCCAGGTTCCCACTCCCTGAGGATTTTCTACACTGCGATGTCACGGCCCGGCTTCGGGGAGCCCCGTGTCACCTCCGTGGGCTACGTGGACGACACGCAGTTCGGGCGGTTCGACAGCGACTCTCTGAGTCGGAGTGTGGAGCCGCGGGCTCCCTGGGCGAAGCAGGTGCAGCAGGAAGATCTAGACGAGGAGATGCTGAACCAGAGGCACCTGGCGCAGACTCTCAGAGCGCTGCTGCAGGACCTGCGCGGCCGCTACAACCAGAGCAGGGATGGTGAGAGCTTTATGGTCTGGGCCAGGTCAGGACCCCTGTCTCCCACCACAGGCAAGTTTGCCTCCAGTCTAAGGGTCTAGGGACACCTCAAGGCTGGTGGATCCACAGGCTTCTCCACATGGGAGGTGCCTGCAGGAATTTCCTTCCTGTCCTTTTAGGCTTATTCCGGACAGGAGGCCAGGGTTCCAGTGGGGTGACCCCAGGTGACCCTGGGGCTGACAGAGGGGGTTTCAGGGTCTCACACCCTCCAGAGGATGTGTGGCTGTGACTTGGGACCAGACGGGCGCCTCCTCCACGGGTACGAGCAGTTCGCCTACGATGGCGCCGAGTACATCGCCCTGAACCCGGACCTGCGCTCCTGGACTCCCGCGGACCCGGTGGCCCAGATCACCCAGCGCCAGTGGGAGGCATCGGCGAGGGCGGAGCGTGTCAGGGACATTCTGCAGGACAGGTGCCTGAGGTGGCTCCGCAGACTCCTGGAGCTGGGAAAGGCGGTGCTGCAGCGCACAGGTAAGGGGGCTCAAGGCCTCGGACTCCCCTCACCCTGGACCCCACAAGAAATGGAATCATGGGCAGAACAGCGCCTGCTTCTGGTCAGAGGGGAGGGGGCCCTGGGTGTCATATTCTGTACTAGAGAGACTTCTGTACTAGAGAGACAGTAAAGGAGTCTGGTCTCTCCTGATGGACGGAATATCTTCACTGGATCCTTTAATCTGGCCGCCATCTTGAGAACGATCAGTTTTTCTGTTACTGTCTTGTTTTTAGTCTGAGAACATTTGTGTTGGAGACCAGCTCCAACTATTGAGGTGTCTGGACGAAAGACAGGCAGGACCCTAAGGTGGGAAGGTGTCGGCGAGCGGAGATTCCTAAAAAAGGGGGAAAGGGAGAAAAAAGGGGAAAGGGGAGCGAGGAAGACACGGGAGTCAGAGTTGGGTGCAAGTCTTCCTTCAGCAGAGGTTTATTTTATACATTAGGAGCAAGCAGTGGGATGACATCTACTACTTAATGGGTTTTTGTTTTTCTGCCTGAGTCATCCTGGGAGAAAGAAGAGGAAATTCCTTTCTAATCAAATCTCTGAATAGGAGACATAGGTGAATTTCTTTATCTAAAGACTACATAGTAGAATCCTGAAAGACTAGCCAGAAACTTTTGTGGACTCCTTTAAGGTGTAGCAGGTAGAAAACTTGACTAGTTTAAAAACAGGCAACCTGGATGAATTTCCACATCTAAAAGCCAAACAATAGGAAGTTTGAGTAATTCTTTAGAAGCTGAATAGAAGGCTAGGTGAGATAATAGAATGATAAGATTTGGGTTTTCCTCCATCTGGCAGTGAGAGAGACTTTGCAAAAACAGCCCTTTTGTTTTTATTTATCAGTCAGTAGTCAAGTCACTTGACTTCAGGGGAATTTTTCACCCTGGTGCAATGCTTGCTTGTCAGGGCAGACAGGACTTATGTGGCTGAGGCAGTCCAATTGTAAGCTGAAAGTTGCTCAGAATATTTTGATATTACGGTTATACAAAAAAGGGAGGTCATAACATAAGTTAGCGTGGAAAGTCTGATTTTTCAGAGCAATTCCCCTCCATCCGGATCGTGTCTGAAGACAGAGGTTGCATAGCTTGTGTCACATTTGTGAATCCAATTCCTGTCTTTCTGTGTCACCCAGGTCAGGAGCAGAGTCTGTGTCCTCCTTAGAGACCTGCACCCTCCCGCCCTGGGCTCTCACCCGATTATCCCAGATTCCTCAGACAGGGCTGGGCTCTGGGTTTTGTGCTTCCTCCTCCAAACTAACTGTCCTGTCCATCTGAGGGTGGTCACATAAGGCTGCTTCAGAGTCTATGGAGGACACTGAATAATAACCTAAAATGTGATATTTCTGATTGTTTCCCTTCAGATCCCCCAAACACACACATGACCCACCACCCTACCTCTAACCATGAGGTCACCCTGAAATGCTGGGCCCTGGGCTTCTACCCTGCGGAGATCACCCTGACCTGGCAGCGAGATGGGGAGAACCTGACCCAGGACATGGAGCTGGTGGACACCAGGCCTGGAGGTGACGGAACCTTTCAGAAGTGGGCAGCTGTGGTGGTGCCTTCTGGAGAGGAGCAGAGATACACGTGCCAGGTGCAGCATGAGGGGCTGCTGGAGCCCCAAGACCTGAGATGGGGTAAGGAGGGGGATGTGGGCACAGAGGATCATCTCAGGGGGATCAGAGGCTCTTCTGGAGATCTTCAGAGAGTCAGGATAAGCCCTGGGCTCAGGGTCTCCCCTCCCCTCCCCTTCCAGAGCCCCCTCCTCAGCCCTCCATCCCCACCATGGGCCTCATTGCTGGCCTGGTTCTCCTTGGAGCTGTGCTCGCTGGGTCTGCGGTGGCTGCAGCTGTGATGTGGAGGAAGAAGCACTCAGGTAGGGAGGGAGTGAGGGATCCTGTGTTACCCAGAGGATTTGTTAGAGTCTCCACTCACCTCCTTTCTTCATTTTTCCCAATGCTGATATGGGACTTTAGTCAGAGTTTAGGAAACTTCCCTATAATCAAGGATTAGAAAATTCCTTTAGGACTTCTGACCTGATTGCTCCCTGGTCTCACATAATCTGTTCCCACAGGTGGGAAAGGAGGAAGCTACACTCAGGCTGCAGGTGAGTGTGGATCAGGGGTTTGGTCCCTGAGCCCCTGGGACAGTGTAGATGGAGCCCCTGGGGGAGTCACCCCATCAGCCCCTCCTGTGGTCTCCTCTCTCGTGGCTCTGACCAGGTCTGTGTTGTTCTCCCCCAGGCAGCTACAGTGCCGAGGGCTTTGATGTGCATCTCATCCCCTAAAGTGTCCTTCAAAAAAGAAGCAGATTTAATAAAATTATTATGGATATTAGATTTAATTTTGCTATTTGCTTTTTTTGTTCACATTCTCCCCAGAGTGGCATCTGCAGGATCAGGCAGAGAGTCTCCGGCAGCCTGAGCTGTGAGCAGGGCTGACTCTGCCCCAACTGCAGGGAGGGGACCCTGGAGCCCCAGAACCAGCCCCAGGGTTGGTCCCCCAGGGTGACACAGGTCTTGCTTGCCCCTCCACTAGGCTCCCTGAGTCTCCCTGACACCCCAGCACTGGGAACTGAAGGGGAGTTCTGGTTCAGGAAGGGGGGGGAGGCTTGCCTAATGCTTGCCCCTAGCATCTCTCCCCTTCACCAGCGATGGTGTGAGCCTGAGTGTCCGACTCCAGCCTGGCCAGGACAGGAAAGGCCCCAACTCATGGTTTCCTGGTCAGTCACAGCGCCACCCCCTCTGCACCCATTAGGTGACACAGACTCTCCAGCCCAGCCAGAGCCGGTTACCCCACAGACCCTCCCTCACAGTGTCCCTCTGATGACTGTTCCCTCACTCTGGTTCTCCCCTTTACACTTTTTCAGTTCCCAGTCACTAAAGTCCCCATTTCCAAAATCCTCTGCTCACTTTCCCAGGAGCCTCCCCATCTCTCAGCCAGGGCTCTGGGGGCTCTCCTGGACCCTCCCCTCATCCCGTGGATGGAGAGTTTAGGGTTGATGCCCAGGAGCAGTTGCTTTACTCCTGGCAGCAGAAGCAGAAACAACTTACAGGGACTTTGGGGCCCAAGTTTCCATCTCAAAAGACTGAGGGAACTTGTATATTGGGGTGCCTGCCTAGGACTGGTTTATAGCCAGATTCTAGGCCAGTGCAGTCACTCATTAAGAAGGAACTTTGAGGACATAGGTCTTGGGTGCCCTATTGTAAGCAGACCCCTGTCCTGCAGCTGGGAGCTCAGGGCGCCCTGGGGGCCTGGCTGAGCAGGAGAAAGGGCAGCTCTGGGCGCCTGCGCTCAGCCCTGTGGCCACACGGGGGCGCTGCCGCACTGCTCTGGTTCTGGCTGAGCCGCCAGGACTGGTGGGGTCTGAGTGGGCAGAGCGGGTTGTCCTGGGGGGCGGCGTCCTGGGGGCTGGCATCCTCTGTGGGGAGACAGGGAACCAGGGTTCAGAGAAAAGGGGACTGCAAACCGCTGCTCTTTGTGCAGTTTCCATCCTTTCTCTCAAGGACCACTCTCTCTAGTCCCTTGACAACACTGGAGCTTTACATCATTTTCCCCTTCTAACCATTAAGTGTTGAAGACATTTAAAAATAATATTTATGTTGGGGGAGGGAAGCTCCCAAGAGACTGGCGATGTTTCACAGGTGATGGGAAATTTATGGGGCCCACATCAAGGGGAGTAATCAAATATCGTATACAAATGATTGATGATGTAAGAAAATTTAAAACGATAATAAAATAATAATAACAATATTGACAACTAGGCACATTTTCATACCTGTCAGATGTCTTTATCTTACACATCACCGCTGTTGCCTCCGTAGCACTGAGCATGAGCTGTGTCTGCCAGGGTGGGGGCGCAGGCGTGAGGAGCTGCACCCCCTGCGCCCCCAGAGCCTGCTTCTCGCTCCCTGACTAACTGAGAACTACTCAGATATGACGTGGTAAAGACTGCGCCTCGCTCTTATTCCCAATCCCAGTGCTGGTTCCTGAGGCACCCCCATGTCTCTGTTATCTCAGAAATTCCCTCTTGTTGCTTTCCTCTTCTATGCTGTTGCTGAGTCTTATAACTCTTTCTGCAATGTACTTTGTCTCTGCCTCAAATCATGAAGCTTCAACACCACTCAGAGTCCATTCATTCTGCTACAAGGCAGGGTGAGGGGCACCCTGGGACCCCAAAACCTGCCTGTTCTAAACAGTTTCTGCCATCTACTACATTAGGACAAAACATACTTCAGTGCATAAGACCTTTGATGGAAAAGAACTTTACTACAAATAGTGTGCGACAGGGGGAAGGGAATGAAGAGAGTTACAATAATTTGCAAATAAAATATACCCAGCAAAACACTACATGACATACACCTCAGTAGCATCATTAAAGATACAGCACCCAACTCAACAACAGTGAAGGAAAGGATAAACAGGTGGGACGACATCAAGTTAAAGAGCTTCTCTACAGCAAAAGAGACAAAAAACAAACAGACATCACTGATTGGGAAAAAGTTTTCTCACACAACACTAGCGATAAAGGATTGATCACTAAGTTATACAAAGAACTGATGAAACTCAACAAAAATAAACAACCCCCCAAAATGGGCAGAAAAGCTAAGAAGACATTTCTCCAAAAAGGAAATGCAGATGGCCAACAAGCTTATGAAAAAATGTTCAACATCACAGGCCCTCCCTGGTGGCACAGTGAATTAAAGCACAGTATTAAGAAGCTAAAGCCACCTCCGCATGAGTTCGATCCCCACCCTGGAGGTGACCCACATGGTCTCCTGACCCATCCGCTGCTCCCCTCAGCAGTGTACTTGGTCAGTCGGCCTGTTCTGCTCCCTACTCTGTCTCCGGTGAATCCTCTCACCACTCCTGCTCCTCTGGCCTGTATACCAGTTCTGTATGCATAAATAAGTAAATTAAAAAAAAATGTTCAACATCACTTGTAATAAGGGAGATCCAAGTTAAAACCACAATGAGATACCGCCTCACCCCAGTTAGAATGGCACATCTTCAAACAACTAGCAACAACAACTGTTCGTGAGGATGTGGAGAAAAAGGAACTCTCCTGCATTGCTGGTGGGAATGCAAACTAGTACAACCACTATGGAAAACTGGAAAACTGGAGATTCTTCAAACTGCTTAACATCGAGCTTCCAGAAATCCTGCTCCTAGGTATCTACCCAAAAGACACAAAAACACTGATTCAAAAAGATACTTGCACCCCCATGTTTACTGCTGCCTTATGGAAACAACCCAAAGGCCCAAAAACTGTTTGACTGGATTAAGAAGATGTAGTACATATACACAATGGAATATTACTCAGCAAGCAAAAAAAAAAGCCACACATCTTTTGCAGCAACATCGATAGAGCTGGAGAAGATCATGCTTAGTGAAATAAGCCAGAAAGAAAGGAAAAACACCTGATGGTTTCACTTGTAGCAGGAGTATAACAGACCAGGGGAGAAAATAATAATAATGAACAGCCACATACCAGAGACATTTTGTGGAGGTGGGGTGGAGAAGATGATAAAAAATGGGGATGGGGAAGTGCACTGGGCTATGGTGATGGCACACGGGTGATTTGGTGATGGGAAGCCCAGGGGGATTACAACTGAGATGGAAAAATGCATAAAATGATGTAAAAATAAACATATTATTTAAAAACAAACAAAAACCACCTGTTTCAATGCCCTTGTGCTGTTACCTACCCTGTCTCTGTGGCAAGAACAGTGAGTGACCACTGAAGCACCCTTCAATCTTCTTGGCCACATTTCCCCGTGACCCCTGCCCAGGGAGAATGCATTTATATCACAAAAACAGGAGCATTACTAAATTCTCACATCCAAGTAGGGAGAAGAAGTAAACACTTCATCTTTTGTTTGCAAAGTGAAGTTTTCACCAGGTTGTTGACAGCATCTTAGGTGGAGTGAAAGAGGGGTGGTTTCCATGAGGAACTACGCAGACAAAAATGTATACACCTCAGAACACAGATCTGAGGTTTTAACAAGACATTCAGAAATTTTACTACAAAGCATTCATTGCAATGTCTGCCTTAGCAGTTTATGGCATTATGTGGGAGCTATTGGGTAATTCTGACATGTATCCTTTGAAATACTAGTTTGTCACACCAATTTGGAGAGATATCGACCCCATGTTTACTGTGGCATTATACAAAACAGCTAAAATTGGAAACAACTCAAGGCCCTTTAATTAGTGAATAATAATGTGCTATGTTTGTGTGCATATACAAACACACACACACACACATTTACATATATATTTCATTTGCAACTAATGGTGGGACCCAGAGTACTGGAATTAGTGAAGTAAATCAGATAGAGAAAGACAAACACTGTGTGATTTTGTTCCCATATGGCATGTAAGAGGAACAAACAGATGAAATATTAAAACAATTTTACAAACACAAAAATAAGATACTGGTTTATTATTTTTCCATTGTATCATATACAAACATTTACTATTCTGGAAGTTATTTAAATCTCAAAGCAAAACCTTTGGCATAAATAATTGCTAAACATGTATGCCTATTTTTAAAGTCCTAAATATAAAACTTTGTATAAAGGTCAAGATACCTCCAAAACAGTTAGAAATGCTCCAGATACACAGATTAATTTAAATTAGGTACTGAAAGATCAACAAAATGGCAGCTAAATAGCAAAACAGACTGTTTGCTGGAAGACACTGAACAACTGCATGCCATAATACCACACAGTAGACCTTTGTGATTCAAATAAATAGTCCACCTGAGATAACATCCGGGTTTTACACCTAATTTTAGACACAATTTGATGACTTCAAGTACATTAATTTAAATAATGCCTCATTCTTCCAAATATTAATTTGACTTATTTTCTTTGTCAGAAAGTTTATTTTTTAAAAAAATTTATTTATTATTTATGCTTGCAGAGGGTGGGAACAGGCCAGAGGTGCCGGACAGTGAGAGGCTTCACCAGAGACAGAGACCTGTATTTTCCCCTCTGGTAGGGTCACTGTTCAATCTATACCGGGTCATCATTTTACACGTTATGGGATCAGCTGTAGGTCTGGCAGCGGCCCCATCTATAAATGTGGGTTAAATACTAGGCTTGTTCTGGGGTCTTTGGGAGACCGCTATCAGATAGAGTCTCCCATTGGACCTTTTGCCCAATCCTTGGTGCGGATCATACTTCATTTGTAACATTTATGAAGCAATGGTGTCATTGGGCTGAATAGCACAACGCCCATCTGGGATAAAATGTCCCTGCCCTACAGTGTCATAGGCAATGTAGGAATGGCTGGACCAATTGGCTGGACCAATGTACCAG